ATTCAATTCCTGATTTTCTCAATGGAGTGTCTTGAAAATCTTTCCCTGTGATATGCTGTCTGTACATCAGACGCCCATTCCGATTTTGAAATTGTTTGTGCTTTCGTGAGGCATCACAATAACAACCGCACTCCACTAAATCATAGCGATGAGTTCTCCTTGTCATTACTCGATTCTCTAACATCACAAAACTCCAGTACAGAACGGAAGTCAACTGAGTCGAAACTGATTAACCGTTAGCAGAGAGGAGGCCGGCATTCGTAACAAGTTCACTTTTGAATCCAGCTTGCTTATTTTTGATGAAACAGCGTTGAGCCTTTCTTCAAGTCTGTTAGCATCAATAAATATCAGTTAATGAAAATTGCTAAATTCTTTTACGGAAAGACACCGTGTAGTAAATTGCTAATAAGCGTTCCGTCTACGTCGCTGAACGGATATTCCAAGATATTACCCAATTATTTTATCCACAATTAAGACACTGCTAGTCTCGCAGCCCCGTTAAATGAGGAAATTTCATCATCTCAAAAAACAACAGAGCTATACAACAAATCAGTGATACCGTACCTAATTCCTGAATCCTCCTGCCTTAAACTACCCTGCCTGGCCTTTTACAGGCATTAGGCAATGATCCTGTTCTCATATACTGTAAATACGCGGGTATCGAAACAAGAAATAAGCACCTTTCTGCACAAATACTCAAATACTGCATAACAAGTTAAATCTATGGCGTGCAGATGCTGAAATACCATTGGGTCGTGGCTTGCTTAAATGGCTGCCATAGGCAATAACGGTGGCCAATGGTCAGTGCATCTTCATCTTCCATGGCCGCTTATCATTTCGGGTCGCTGAAGCAGACGGGTGCTTCCAACGTTCCCGATCCTGTGCCAGTCTGAGCTTCGGCAGAAGAAAACTAGAGTCTGGAACAGACTCCTACTATATATTTGCATCAGACTAAACTTGGCTGTAACTTGGCCTTCTGCCGGCCACTTTCGCAAGAAACAGTAGCACAGCATTCATTTCCGGAAGCATGACCAAACCATCGGAACTGTGACTCTCAAACTGGAGAAGTAGCGGCTCCACACCAAGGCTCTCCCGGAAATCTGAATTGCGGAGCGTGTAGAGACGCATAAGGCAAGCGACTCGTCTAAGAAAGCCCGTTTCAGCAGCCTGTACCCGGGATCGAAGCTTCTGTCATGTTCCACGACTATATGTTAGCATGGAGATACTACTAGAATACCGAGATCTTTGTTAGGAGGCTCAATAACGTAATGCCTCTATAACAGGAGCATTCCTTGTGGTCTCCCTTCTTGAATATGGGCACAATAACTCCTGTTCTTCAGTCCTCTGGTGTCTTTCCTGTAGTGATCGCAGTTTGACAGACACGTGTTAGCCAGCACATGCCTTGTTCGCCTAATGCCTTGAGCATCTCA